AAAACGTGTCTATCCGACCGGAAGCAAACTTGCAGGCCTTTGGAATCGCAGCCAAATCATCTGTCAGCAGACGAGAGGCGATCGTGGCCATCCGCGGACGAGGATAGGAGACGATGTTCGTTTCGGCTGGTACCGATGAGGCTGCATGAAGCTATATAGAGGAAGTGTTGTGCACTGATCCGACGCCAAAAAAACGTAGGTCGTTCCTGTCGGCACTTGGGAGGAGTATTTTGAGTGCGGGCAGAAAGTTGTGCTTTTTTGCGGCGGTGGTCGACGTGTACGGTGTCGAGCTACGGACACACCGTTTTAATGAATGTTATTAAAAGTGATGTAGTGTGTGCAATTACGTCACCATGGAAACCGTTTATATACATGGATGCCATGTGTCATCTCGTTTCCACTAGATTTTATAAGAATGACAATAAAGACGCATTAACTCTCAGAGGAAGATACGAGACCTACGTTGTAGATATAGTGTTTGCGCCCACTACAGCTGGTGGCTCCATTCTCGGAAGCCGTGGTCAGCAAGTGAAAATAATTTTGTAAAAAAACAACCACTACTTCCGGTCGAATTCTGGTGGTGTGCATACTTTGCGATTTTTGGATATCCACGCTTGGAGGATCAACCGAATATCGGCACACACGCCTACATTTAACATGTATAATAATCGTTGTCAACCAAAGTTTAAGCACTTATCACCATCATTACTTATCACGCATCTGCACCTGTAAATAATTTATTATTACCTACTTATTGTTACAATATTATGTTTTTTGTATCACTACTTTTTTCTAATATCGTTATTTAATATAATAAAAAAATATTATTGTAAAAAAAACGGTTTAATTAGGTTTACTTGAAATTGCATATTATATATGTCGTATATTTACTACACTCAATTTTTTTTTTGTTAATTTCATTAATAACAACCTATTATGGACTTTGATTATATTTTCAAACAATCGAGGTTTTTCAACAGCATTAATTCTAGAAAAACAATTGAAAATGTCGAGCTTTAAACGTCTATTTTACTTTGAAAATAATGGTTAATTTAATTTAAGCTCAATAGTACCTAAATTGCGTCAACAAAATACCCAACACATCTGATATTTAAATAATATTCAATGGTTAACAGGAACAAAAATAAAATATAGTGTTGAAAGTTAATTTTCGATATTAAAAAGGTGATAATGTAAAAATTTTCAAGATAAACATTGGTGAGTGTATCAAAATATGTTCGCAACCCCCAACGGTGCAGTTATTCTATATTTCTACCTACCAATAACAACACAACAATTATTACAATGTTTAGTATTTAAAAACTAGATTTCTCAAAGTGGCTTTAAGAAAAGAAAGAACATAAAAAAAATATCTACTTACTTGTATTGTCATCGATGACCTTAAAAGTAATCATTTGACAAGTGTGGTGCACTATCAAAAGATAGATAAAATATTTTAAACCGAAAAGTGCGAGTTTTAATAATCATGTGTGCGTTATTAGGAATCGGACATCGGCATGGCTTAAGGCAGTAGTTCTCAACCTTTTTTGATTCATGTCACCTTTGGCCACTAGAATCAAACACTGCGTCACCCTAACTAGGTACACGTGTTTATCGGACCAAAAGATTAAATATAAATAATACAAACTATTATAAAGATACGAACTTTGAGGTATGTTATGTACATGTCAGTGGTGGTATAGGTGTATAATATATTTATTATAAGAAATAATATGATTGTTTTCGAAAAAATTAATTTTTTAAATTTTTTTTCTTTTCTTGTTAAAATTCTGCGTCACCCCTAAGCTAGGTCCATGTCACCCTAAGGTGACATGTCACCCCGGTTGAGAACTACTGGCTTAAGGTATCAATTTTTAAGCTATGGAAAGTTGTCACACCCACAACTGATCTTTCACATGATTGTACCAATGCGATGCATAATATTCCTCTCAATTATTTACCAAACAATATTTGTATATAAAAACAAAAATATTAAAAAAAGTGGATTAATGGATGTCGCTCTGCTGTACAGTAGGTTACAAGAAGAAGTGGGTCACTGTAAAAGTGTAATGGATGGTATTAAATTTGAATTCAATGATATAATATCATTGTATACGAAAACAGAATCTGAGAGAAGACGGTTATTGTGAGTCTAGGATACTTTATTTTATATTTCTATTTTTATTACTTATTATTAATACGGTAGCCGGACCGCCGGTAAGCTGAACTAATATTCTAAAATTACAAAAAAATAACTAAAATCGTTCTTCTTGGTTATTTAGCATATGTAATTTTGTCCAAATTTGAACGTAAAATTTCTATAAAATCCGTGTTTTTGTATATTTTTAGATTGTTTGGTTACAGAATTAATTTGTTACGTGTAACTTTGTTTTAAATTTTCAAACCTTAGCTATAAATGTAGAACGTTTTATACATTTTTAACTACAAAATTATTTTTAAACTTTCAATTAATAAATGTTGTCAAAAATCGAACTTTAAATGCTAATAAAAAAATATTGTACTTATGTATTTTTAATATTTTTCAACTGCTATTTCAATAAGATACCAGAAGCCTTGTATTTACGGGATTGGCTCTAGACCACTCATCCAATCGTCATGAAATTTTTTAATTTATAACAGTCATAACGGAGCAGGATCCAACTCCTGTCTACGTAATATTGAGATTTGAGAGGTAAAATAGGAATACCGCGTGATACCTTTTGGATTTTCACTAATTGACCAACGTATTTTGACGAACGTATCAGAGATGTTCATAGCAATAACAGGAAGATTTAGAAAGAGTTTGAACCACGTACGAAAATAATTCAAATGATATATCCAATAAGCCACATGAGGATTGCCATCCCGTTCGAAATAGTTGACAAATCGGGATACTGCAGGTGTGTCTCCCTGTTTTACTTTTCGTCAGTATGTTGTAGTCAGTAGTTGGCTCCCCCAGCACAAGCTTAGCTTTTAGGGGGTGCTGCAATATTATAAACTGTTAAAATATAACACAAAATATATTGTATATTATTGTTGCAAATATATATTATTATTATTATCTTGTGCAAGCCGACAAAAAAAATATGATATATTTATGCACCTGGCCAAAAATCTAATAATATTGTTTAAAAAGAAATATTAGAAAGTCATTAACCTTAAATATTTAAAATTTCATAAAATATGGCTTAAAAAAATATTTAAATATTTAAATTTGTACACAAACAATCGCATATAGTAACCATTTTTCAGTATGATAAAAACGAGATTTAGTTATATAATTATTATTTACCCGAAGTTGGAAAACAATATTTTATTACACATTTTATTTCACAAAAAAAACAACCGAAATGCTAAGTCTATCATAATGATAATTTTTTCTATTGACATTCGTGTAATATATTATGATCTACCGCAAGACAAACATCTTTCCATGGTTAACTTGTGATGAGCTATCATTATACTATATTATATTTATAAACTTTATAAAACTTTATATGAAATAGGTACCTATACATTTTTATTTAATTGCTCGTTAATAAATCATTAAAATGTTTATAATAAAGTAGTACCGCTATAGTGTCAAGAAATAAAGTTATATTAAATTAATTTAATATTTTTAAAAACTTATTAGTAGGTCTTCAGGCCAATAAAAAACTAACTCATGTATTTGAGAAAGAATTACATTTGAATTATAACACTAGTGGAAATCGGTATATTTGTAAACAATTTGTTGGCTTATCAAACAGCCTGTTAATAGTGATAATAATAATATGTCTCGCATCCTTTGTTACGCACTTTCTACTTTTGGTTTCACCTATTTCGCTTGAAATAGGAAAATTCAAAATTAAAATACTTACTAACTCTTACTTTTCATACTTTCTACCTAAGTAAAGACCTTAAATTCAATCGCCCACAGTTTTGTATCCACCCCCCCCCCCTGAATATTGAAGTATCATGAGTGGAATATTAATATTATATTTTTGTACTTGTAATAGGTACTTGATTTATCACCGTAATGCTAAACCCAACCAGTGATTGAAATAGTTAAATAAATATAGTACACGGCATATCGAATATTCTACATTCTAAATCGTGCGCCGTAGATCGAATTATATTCAAATTTGAATTTTCATCTTTGTGATACATATTTGTTATTGATATCTGGCCGAAATCGTTGTTTAACTTGAAACACTAAGATCGAGTTGTACCTTTTACGCGGTTAAACTTCGATTTCGTTTAATCAGCTGATATAACAGATTATTTAACAGGGCAAATTCGGCCAATTAAACTTCGGTCAACTTTAATCGGAGATAGTTCAACTGGCCCTACTGGCCCTAAGTGATTTGAATCTATTATATTCTATCAATTTAAATTAAACTATAAGTGTTATATCATATTTTAATTATAGGTACATGGCTATTATAATGATTTAGATTATAAAACATATTTTTAATAATATATGCAACTATAGAAAGAAAGTTGTCGATTTATTTAGTTTCATGACATTTAGTCATATGAAAAAAAGTACATATAAAACATGTTTGTAGGTATAAAATATTAATAAAAATGTCGATTACAATATATTTTCTCTTATTTGAAATTGAATACAAAAAAACATTTAACTAAAAAATAAACTAGGCATCCTTATACAATAATAACAAAAATTAAAATATGTTGAAGTTAATATTTGTGACAAGAAGTGCATTATTCTGCAAACACATATATGTATAAAGTAAATATTTATTATAAAAACATAATCATTTGTAGGATTATTTCAAAGTTCTAAAACATAGAATGCATACAAAAAAAAAATTGTTTAATTGCTTTGGTTTCAAGGAAATTGCATCAAATATAGTCCAAATTATGTGAAATCTATATTCAAAAAAAAAAAATTGTCTAGGCTACCACCCAGCTTGTGAAGTGTTCACATTATTGAACAAAATAAAAACATGCGTAAATCGTATAAAATTATTTTTTTAAGAACCATGTTGATGCATTCAATCGATGGAAAGTTGTTTGAAGGAACCTTCCATTCCGAACAGATCGTCGTGTGTCTTCGGCTTTCCAGGGCGTCGGGACTCGTCGGCTTTGATTTTTTCTTGTTCCTTGAACCAATCCTTGTAAGTCACCATTTTTTCGTACCATTGACCTAAATTCATAAAAAAAAAAAAACCAAAAATACATTTTCATGTTCTATAATGCAATGTAATTAATGATTATTTTCAAGTTACGGTTAATGTCAGCGATTGGTCCAGCTTTTCCTCCATATTCTTCTGGAAGCATGTCCCTTGGTACATATTCGTTTAATGAGTCTAACGACGAATGCACATGGATCTGTATAGGGATAAAAAAAATACACTAATTATACAGATCAAAATGTACAAATATTATATTGCATTAATCTATTGAATAAAGAAAATATATTATACATATACGAAATAATAATGACTATATTATATACAGTTACTTACCCTGGTACGTATTTTTTCTTTGAGGAATGGCTTCACAAAGTTGATGATTGTATCCACAAGTGGTGAAACGTTTATTACGTGCACTTCCTTCAATTTAACTGGATATGCTTCCTAAAATATGCACAAAAGTCGAAATTTGGTTAATAAACGGGATTGAAAGTTTTTTAAATAAACTCTTTTACAACGGTTACGTCATGATTGTTTTGAAAAAAAATAAATACAATTATTTTGGGCGAGTAATGACTAATGAGTATGTTGTAGTAAACTAGTGGATCATATAACTAGTAAGTCATTCAGTATGTCTAAATAATTGTAATAGGTTGGCTAAAAATGGGTTACCGAAGACTAACAATGCAACTCATGGATGTTAATGATAATATTATCATAATATATACTAAAAATATCGTTATAATAATTTATAAATTTTGTATCATACAACGACTCAGCAATACAATATGGTTGTATCATGAAAAGGTAGTAGAAATTGTTACGCATTGCTAGTCTCGTCTCGATCAAACTAGAGTAAAACACATTTTACAGAAACACTTTAGGGTCTAGAAAGTCATACATACAAAGTTATGATCGAAGTGGCGATCTCTTCTTGTTTATTCCCAATGAATTTATTGGTCTGTTATCACCTTAAGTCATTGATTTACAGGGTTAATGAGTATCAGTTGTGTTTAGTATACTTAATGTTATTGTGTGTAATTCTAAACCCAAACTTTTTTGTATCAGTATTTTGACCGGAAAGTCAATAAGTTCGTAAAATGAATCTCGTCACAAAGAATAATAAACAATAATTATTATTATTAATAACAAACTATAATTCATTGGATTATATCATATATTATAGCATTTAAAAAACAATTCTCCTCTGAATCGGATCATCGCTATTATACTGAAATACAAGGTCGGCTTACATAATTTCTTTCTATTTCGGTTCTAAAACGAAGTGGATTTCTCTTCCCTTCGAATATCAGAAAACAATCTAATATACTTTACCTAATATTTCATTAGACATATATTGTGTTTCTCTACAAACTAAACCGACAGACAATTTTGAAGTTCGAGCTTGGTACAAAATTATATTATTAGGTATAACACATTATTTAAGATGTACACACCTGTACACAGATGAGGAACTTTTTGATCAGAGATGGTGTAAACTTGGCAAAGTGGTTGGCGAAATTCTGCGGTGTGGCCACGCTGGCGTCCAGAATGTACACGTCTCCGGCCACGCCGACGTGTTCCTCCTTTAACCTTATGTCGCCGATCATCAACACCACTTTCATACCTTCGGCCACGGTCGCGGCCATCTGTTCCAAATCCACACCGCTCATCATGACCACACGGCGTCCGTTCGGCGTCAAACCCGGAAGTGGTGGTACGTTTCTGAAACACATGACGAAACGTGATATACGAATAATGAAAATATGGTTGATATGGCGAGGTTTAAGAGATTTATCCCTAGACTTATAATAATATAATATGGACATCGTGAGCTCGGGCGTCCCGAGTTATGTGTGCGTTTCTAATGAGTCCTGCACTTTGTACAAATAAACTGGATAAACTCTAAGTGCTAAAGCTCTGCAATTTGCAAGTATGTAATTGAAAAAATTTGGAAGTTGTTTTTTGCAAGCTCATTGATTCGAAGCCATGGCCAAAATTAACTGAGGAGCTAATTTCATACATTCCAATGTGTCCAAATTACACCAGATAACCAACTTACAAATGACTTGTAATAATATTTTTCCGGTATAATTTGGACAGAGGTCAAAAGTGAGGTGGGGCTAACTTCACACTCGGCCCAAATTGACTCATATATTGTAAATATGAAAATTCGGTAGAACTGAAAAATACTCCCCCACACACACACACACACACACACACACACACACACACACCATAATTAATTCGACTACAATAACTGTAAATACGCAATATTACTATAATATTATAATGTGATGATACAACGTAAGTATATCCGTAAAACAGATCAAATCGTGTTGGTACATTTATATAATAAAATATACAGTCGAGATAGATAGTCTATAATATATTATGATGTAATTCAATCGGAACGTTCGTTAAAAAATGTATAAAGTAAAAATGTGGAACAGAAAGTACGTGTACAAAAAAAATAACACAACAATCGTGCGTGTTGTCGCTACTTACTTGAATAATAAGACTTAACGAAAACCAATAGTTTAAAATCTGACAATAGGCGTTTTAAAAACGAAATCAGAAAAATAAGCGTGTCTTATACCCTAAGTTTGTAGTTACGAAATAACGATATAATAATAGATTTAATAATTATTATGACACATAATATCTCGGTACCTTGTGTCAACTGTCAACTATACATATAATAATATAATTGTAATTTATTATAAACCTAACATTAGTAGGTACACAAGTTGTAGTGTTATATCTGTGTTTATAATATACATTTTCGTTGAGCATAATAATTGCAATATTATAGTTGTCGACGAATAATAATCACCGTCCAAAATGTATATATTATTTTACTGCGCATATCGGTGAAATTACCTTTTTGCCTATAGTATATTAATTTTTTTTTTTAAACGTTTCAAGTGAATTTAAAATGGAAAACTCATCGTAGTTAATGAATACCTCAAGTATAGACTTTGACATATTAAAATATATAGGTACATACGCGACTCTCATCACTTCTTTGATTTCTGGTAACGTCGGGTCTCGGTTACTGAAGAACTCCGGTACAGCTGCTCTCATCGTGAAGTACATGTCCAATTTCCTCTTGGTCTTCTCCAGAGAGAACTTACATCCTCGGAGAAACGTCATGATGCGGGCATCGTCTGGGAAATAGATAAGGAATAGTTTCCCGTCGAATTAATTAATATCATGAAAAAGTGTTCGCTGGTATTAAAGGTGATGAAAACAAAGGACCTCAAAAAACTCAATAGACAAAAAAAATTTCCAGCATCTATTATAATATTTTACTAACATAAATTATAATAATTAAGGAACTAAATTCACGCTTCATATTATAATATCGGTAAATCGATTAGTTACGTTAATTTTCAGAACATGCTTATTGTTTATACGCATTTATTAATTTATTGTCTATATACTCATGTGACGTAAACATACCTATATGTTATGTACCTTGATTTTTAATTAAATAATATGATATTCATTCTGTTTTTAGTTTGAAATTTGAATAAATCTAAAATTACTGTTCATATTATTACATTATATTATATTTATTATAATATAAAATTTTGATATAAATTAACTTTTTAACTAAACTAGTTTGCTAATTTATTATTTGTATAATCAACTCAATAGCTTAACTAGTTAAAATATGGCTATTGTGTAATTTTTGACAACATAACTTTTTCCAGTTAGGTAATTAAAAAAGGATACGTTAAGTTAAAATTATTATACTAAAAGGTACATATAATTTTAACTATAGTTTAGACTAATTCATTTTTTTTTTTTTAATCAAGTTGTATACGATATGGTTGTAAATAAAAATAAACAAATAATTAATGCTCTTTGATTTAATAATTGTATTAGACACAAACGCGTGTAATTGCCTTAACCACTACAGATAGTGCTCACTATATTCACTGTTCAGAAAAAAGCAGTGGCGCAACTGGATAAAAATGTATTTTAATAATAATTTAATAATTAATTTACCATTGTAGGTTATCTACACCATAACCCCCCTCCCCTTCCGGTTTAGTCTTAAAACTAATTTTATGAGTTAGAAACAAATTGTAGGTTGTTTAATAGTATTAAAAACCTACATAAGAGTTCATTAATAATAACGTGCTGTAAATAGTTTAAAAAAGTAACAAGTATAAATATTATTTACACATATTTTATATTTGGTGAATAATAAATAATAACCAACGAATAATTGAATGCCTTTATTAAATGTTATTATTGCGATAACATTGATGATTATACCACAAAATAAACCTAAACTTTCATGAAATAGTTTTAGGAAAAAAATATTTAAATATTATAATATGTTAAATATATTTCATTCTCTTTTAACTTAAGAAAATTCAAATATTTGTATTGTTGGACTATCTGAGGGAGGGGGCATAATTATCCCGTTTACCCCCCCCCCCCCCTCAATAAAAAAAAGTCAGATGGGCAAGTGCCCCCCCCCCACAATTACTCCTCTGGTAAGAAAAATGTATAGGAAACATTTTAAACAAAATAATTAATTATTAACAAATTGAAAGTTGCATAATCGCTAGATAAGGTGAGTCATTTAAGTGTCTATATTCATCGTTTCAAAAGGTTTATACTTAATAAAATTATTATTTTTGCATGATTTATTTTGTGACATTACAAAACAATATTTATGGAAAAAAAAATGTTATTTTTCATAATATTTTTGTTGTAATCTTTTTTAACCTTCACAATGTATACGTTTTTTAACGTATACATTTTTAATTTCAGAAACATGATATTTTTCAGTGTATTTGGCTACATATAAAAATAAAACTTTGAACCGATATAATATTAATTAGTCAAGTATAATATCTAAAGTTTAGACGTGCGGACACTATAGTGAACGACACGAGTCGATCATAAATTATAAATTAGATATAATATTAACTATTATCATAGTACACCAAGGGGTGGACTGCGGAGCTTACCTTGAAATTGGGGCAAGTGTGGTTGCATACGTAACCATTCCTTGATGTGTTCCAGGTCCTTCTCCCTGGTCGACACGTCTTCGTTGAGCTCGGTGCGGATGTGCCTTTGCATCTCCACGGTGGGTTGTACGAGAGTCATCTTGATGTCGGCTGTACATAAAACAACAGAATATTATAACGATTACGAACTGCGTCAAATCGAATTGATTATATTATATGGTGCGTAATATGCGACGGTGTAAGTATTACATGTTATTGTGTGAGTTATGTATAGGTAGGTGCGCAAATATTATGATAAAATAATAAAATATAAAATAATAAAATAATATATTATTATTATTACTAGGTACCTATCGTCAGCTCTTCCGCGGCGCGTGAACGAGAGAGAATAAAAATCGCTGTCGCGGAGTGAAAGAAAAACAGTTGTTACAAAAGTAAACCCGGTCCTACTAGACTGCCAGACTGCCAGCTGATACTGCTAGGTTAGAGCTATCATGGGTCCAACACGTATCTTAGATAATATAATATTATTATAGTAAGAATACGAAAGAGAAAGTCTATACATTAGATAGGTATGTAAGCGCTCGGGTATACGGTATGACGTGTTTTGTGTGTGCGTGTGTATAGGTACGGAAAATATATGTAATAATAATCGTCCGTTGCATAATATAATGACCACAAAACCGACTAGGTCGCCACGGCCATATCATCGCGTACCTATACAACCGTCGCCGGACCCGTTGGGCAACAAGTAGTCGGTGTAATAAAATATAATATTTTACATAGCACGACATTATGGCTAGGTATATATAATACTTATGTTATAGGTGCGATCACACTTTACCGACGACGTCTGCGGGGGATGACCTTCCGCGGACGTTCCCGATTTTCATCCCGTTTTTCCGTTCGATATATTCGCACCGACGAAATCTCGCAGCACGCCGCTAATATAATAATCACGCCTCTTAATTATATAATATATTAACAATATGATATTGTTATATTTATTTATTTCACACGTCCAGTGTGTCTGATGTACCTACACTCGTATCGACCCTGAAACAGCCGGTGTGATATTATAGGTGGTTAAATGGCTGGAGCCGACGACAACATAATTTACTTAATATGTTGTCCTTCGCGAGCCGTTCGCACGGAAATGTGCTTTTCACGATGATCCGCGAAAGCCGACCTACACAATACTCGTGTCAATATTTGTTAGTGTCCAACCGTCATAATATGGGTAAGTACATATGGACAATTTGTTTTATAGGCACCCAAGACATTGTCGAGAGCCGGAAGACATCATCGTCCAAGGACGGACGGACTCAAGAGTTATCGTCAAACGTAGTTTACAATGATCACAGTCAAATGATGCACGGCTGACAGTATTTGAAAATTACACAATTGAATAGGTATTATCTTGAAAAATAATATCTAGTATATTATTTAGCTGAGTGTTTTTTTTTAAGTGTTTTGCATCCTGTATATTTTAAATACAATATTTTTCCTTCTCGATGTTTGTGGATTATATCTTAGTACTATGAGTATTTTCGATGCCGAGTTATAGTCCAAGTGAACACTAAACAAGATACTAAACACTTTTAAATTTTCACCTCCTATCGCATAGCCATTACTAATAAAGAAAGGTTTCATTTATTCGTTTCAATACAATAGTTTGTGTTCCTCGGTCATGGTTAAACGATAATGTTATATCAACAACCGGCATCGAGTTGTATGCTTTAAAATCTTATATTTTGTATTTAGGTAAGTATAGGCAATCAATAAAATCAAATTTATTTTATCTCATTATTATATCTTGTATTTTATTCGATGAAAATTTATGTACTGTATGTCTTGTAGTCAAATTACATTTTTTCAAAAGTATTTATCTAGTCCCTGTTAGGGTATCGTACAGCTATTCTTTTGCGGTGGTTTCCTTTCGTCGGAATTCGTCAAAGACGACCAAAGCCATCCGTAAGAAAACCTCGAAAATTCAAATTTAATTCCAATTCAACGGTGTGGGGAAGGCGCTGACGATACGACGTGTACATGCAACTTATCCGGAGGCGCAAAATTTTACGACCAACGCGGACGCCCGACGGGTGCAAAACGTAACTATAAAGTCTATAACCATGGTTATAGTGTACACCGTGTCCGGTGTAGCTTTCTATACGATTTGAGGCGCTCGGGGTTTACTGGCAGAACAAACCGAATGCATATTATTATATTCGCAATATTAAAGCACAATATTATGTAAGACCGTTATTATTATAGGTACATACTGCCTACGTATAGGTACGACGTCGTAATAATATGAACGAACCGGAATCGTCGGTGCAACAGTGGGCACATCGCAACGAAAAGATTGACGTGTTTAATATTTATTGAAATTTTATGTAAGGGCAATTATAAAAAAATGTTATAATTATTATTGTTCCGGGTGATCCATTTAACGTAAGACGACACTCATTATTTCAAAATATATTTACGTTTTTGAAAATACATAATTTTAAGTTGTCAATAAACAAAATTTTTCAAAAAAAAATATTTTTACTTTTTTCTTTCGTTATTATTTTTTAAAATTTTTATCTTTTTTGTATGACAACGTGCATTTTTATTCCTCATTTTAAAACGGAGTATTTTATGTATAAAATTCGGTTTTTCCGAGTATAGATTATGAGTTATAAGTACATCAATTTGTTGATGAACGGAGTGCTCTAACGGAGTAGTGCAGAAAAGTTTTGGTCCACTTCTCCCTTCATCTAAATACTATTAACAAATAGACTACTTGTCCAAAATTTGATTTTTATAATAGAGCTTATTACTCCCGCGAATATATTCTGCTCCAGAATAATATGACATTAAAAATATTCGTATTGTCATTCAAAATAATGAAAAACTTTTTAAAAAAAAAAAACGAAATATTGATAACGATAAAAATAGTACAACAAATTATAATTTGTTTCTAAATAATATTATGTTGTTTTGTAATTAGACATTTGAAATATTATGTAATATATGTTCAAAAACTTTTCTGAAATAATGAGTGTCATACTTCGTTGGAACGGTTCGACACGTCGAAATGAACCACGAATCGGAGGATCGTTTTGTTGGTGCCGGAAAATGAGCAGAGAAAAAACGAAAATGGCTTACATTGTGCATACAATACGAAAGATAAGAACATAATATTATAATAATACGGTTTGTTACGATGTCAACTTCCGTCGAACCCTAATTTAAGTCTACATCGACGACAACGACGCTCGAAAGACACGTCAACTGCAGCGTATACAGATACGATACTCATATATTATTATAACCCACCTGTAGTTATAATGTATAAATGGTACCTCGCGGTAATAACCCAAAGGAACCGTACCGACCAAGTATAATAACAATAATATATGTCATTATCGGGGCCCCCCGAGACTTTCAGGCCCATATATGCATATTGTATTTTGTTTGTACTGTTTCCTATGAGGAAATTATAGCAGCGCGTATAGTTACGATGTGTTATACATCCGTTTTACTACTAATTCAAATACCGAATGGTTTTACTTTTTAGTGTATATACTTTGAATATTTTAGGGTTTTCGCATACTCTTTGTATTTATTTTGATGTTTATACCAAGGCGTATTGCTAATATTAATGCTGCACTTTCACGAGTGAAAAGAAAATTCCTGTTGGCGAGTGTCGGTGTGATATTGGTGAATCTGTGACGATTCAAATTATTACGATTATTAAAACGATTTAATTCGGTGATTCATTGTCGATTATTACAAATATTCTCTAGTACAATATATCATATTATATTATATCGTATCGTTTATCTCGATCATTATTATTTTATATATTTGTATGAACACCAACACCTAACCTATATATAGCAACGCCTAAAATGACAATTATTATTATTTAGTTTATGCGAGAGTGGCTAATGCTTGTTCATCGATTATAATCGTATTAGTGCTGCGAGTATTATATTTTGCCAGTTTATTTCAGTATTGGTACCTAGGAGTTATTTTCGGTTCAGAATTTATTGCAGTTGGCCTGACAATTATTTTTTATTTGAATTGAGCATATTCCTCAATCAGCTCAACTCACAGGTTTATATAGACTTTGAACATGATAATAAATTAGTGTTTGAAGTATGAAATGTTTCATTTTGAAATACTTCACTATGTGATGAAATATTTCACAAAAACGTGAAACATTGAAATTTTGTTAACACAAATAAAATTACAATTTATTTTTTTTTTTAACACAACGTTCAGTGATCTAAATTCTAATGTAAGAATTCATTAGGCATACAATATATATGCATAATATCTTATACCCATTTGTATCATTTAAACATTAAAATATTTAAAAATTTTGAATACCATTTTAAATGTATCATACCAAAGATAAGGTATTACACATATGTAGGTACCATACAGAAATTGTAATCATAAGCATTATGAAGGTGATTTATGACAATCATGTGTAAATATAAAACTTATTTAAAAATGAAACAAAATTTATCAAAATACTGAAATATTTCACACATCTGAAATATTTCATGAAATATTTAATTTTGTTTAAATTTCATGGAATTTTCAAACACCAATGATAATATTTTTTATGATTATATTAATATAGCACGTATTTCCCCATAAGCCCCTCTGTTCATGATTTTTGACTATCCTGCAATGGCGTTTGATCTTGAACTTTGCTGCAACGTACCGCACACATTGACGTGTGCAGGACGATTGGGGACGAAATAGTGTTTGTCGAAAACCACCGTAAGTCGAAGTGTCTTTTCATGTATAGACCGCATTGTATAATAATTACCAGTAGGCGCATCATTGCCACATCGCCAGTTTCAATTATTACGAAACACAATAAATTATTAATTATTATTAATCCGTACGAAATCGCGTGTACGCATACTGCACACACACAAACATATACACAGGTAATTCGCTGCGTATGTATGCCCGAAAATAATTAAAAACATACAATTTAAAAAAGTGTATTCCACATCATAGGTACCGCCGCTTCCGTGTGAACGCAGAAAGAGAAACTCAGTGCCTATTATCGTGATTAACAATATTCCGTTCGTGTATTTTTTATCGCACTTAGGTATGACGTTATTATATATTATCCTCTCTGTATACAGGCGCGTCGTGTTCGGCCCGACAATGTATTGTACGTATCGTGCCGTACATAATAATAGAAGCATTGTAAGGCGCACGACTTACGGAAAACAATTAAAAAACGTTTTCGGAAATAAACGAAAAAACGACGAATAAACAAATTCCGTCGTAAGATTACGCGTACAACATAATAACAACAAGTGGGTGGGGTGGCTCTCATCGGTATCAGATAATATTATTATACTCATATTGTCGCACACTTATTATACCGACCTATTGTAATGCAACTATTATAATAATATAGCAGTATAATAAATAACAATAATATTGCGCGCAAGTTGGAATCCGTTTTTTCGCATAAAAATCTATCGAAGACGCGGTGGATAATATTATGAACCTGCTTTCACTCAACCGATAATTCGTGTTCGATTACGACCCTCAAATTATCGGCAAGATAAAATAATAATAATATTATGTAAAATGTTCTTCAAATTACGATTTTATCGTGCCCGCGTCGATCAAAACTTTTCAATTTTACTGTCGCCAACAACTATCGACGGTAAACGGCCATATTATTACAGTAACGCGCTTAAAACCATTATAAATTAACCCGACCGTAATCGTCTTATTGTAATTATTTAATTATTACCTTTTGTGAATTTCTTCGACGTAAATCTGCGAGTTTCTGCACTGTTTGATTATACCGGATACTGACGGCGGCGGCGGTGTTCCAGCGGGTTGTCTCACCGTGTGAGGACGACGGCGAAGTGTCGATCGGTATGAAGGCATATTCTGCCGTGGATCAGGCCCAATGATAGTGCGACGGAGTAGGGAAAATAATATTATTAGCGCCCACGGGGGGAATGATGCATAATACAAATATATTTAATGATATCGAAGACTTTCACTCGCCTTGGGGGCAGCATAATATAGACTTTACCGCGATTGCGCGGATTTTCGTCTATTGATAAATAATTTAATACCAAACATTTGATACGAACCGAGGACGAAAACGAAATATACAATACGTATGGAATATTAATATAACAGTGTAATAGTGCACATTAACGACGATAAATAATAATTCCACGACGGGTCTGTGTCACACGAGAGGTCCGATCAAAATATCTTCGGGACTGCGAAGGATTTGGCTCGAGTCACCGTCGTCCGATTGACCAGACCGGTATCATTGGTAATCACAAGTCCACCGTTTCGATAAACTTGACCTGCAATATATGACATAAAAATATAATATATTGTGTAGGTACGTAGTTGTCGTTATAAATACAAAGCGTTCGGTCAAATTACGCTTATGATAATACGCGATTTTAGATTATTATTTGTGTCATTAATATTATTTTTTTTACTTTTCTGTATAATATATACCTACAATTATATAATGTTTACAACAATACCGTCTTCGGTAAGAACGAATATTATTATTTTATGCGTTTTTGCATACTCGTATTATTTCATCAGATTTTCAGGCACGTTCAATGTCAACTCTTAAGATCATCATAATATAGAGACACAATAATATTATGTTTACAATCACGAGTTAACATAATCGTCACATAGAAACGTTAATTTAATAATTATATACACTGTATACATAATATGTTTATGATACAAGTAAAAAATATAGGTACCTATTACATGGTATTCTGTACCAATTCGAGTAGGTGGTACATAATATGTACATACTTTAAATGAAAAATGAGTAAGAATACTAAGTTTGAATGGCATCTAAGTGAATCGTATAAAATAAACATAATTTTTTTTTTTTACATTGTAAACTTAATTACCTACATTTTAAATAAAATAGATGATAAACATATTAAGCTATACTCTCCTGTTAAATTTAATTGCAGGAGTTACTGAGGCCAACGATTTTTAATATTATTAAACTACCTAAATGAGAAATTGCAAAATGTAGACAAGCACTATACTCGCATACATCACAATGTTATACTGAACGAATTTTGGATCCAATATAACATCATACAAACGTCATACAATCCAATCTGAAAACGTACTGTTTCAAACAATGTGTTTGATATTTTAGGAAAATATTTAAATTGTAATGTTTATTCAAATATTATATCAAAAATAATAATATTATTATTTAAATAAATATGCATATAGGCTTGTATCACACTGTTTTATTATTTTTCAGACAAACTCAATGGTTGTTTTACTGCATAATAATTAATTCTCTGCCCTAGACAGCTAGACATCAGGGAATGACACTATCGAAACTTACAGTCATTACAGTTATATATATTCAGTTCAGTGGTGGCAATGTACCTGATACTGACGATTGGAAATATCGCAGCTAGTTTTGGTATAAAAAAAACAAACTTAATACGAGTTCTGCAGTATATGAACATGTACCTATCTACCATATTATTATATTCTACTGTTGGCCGACGACTATTTAGGATTTAATCGTATTTAATTATTAAAATAATTTGTGTGATATATTTGAAAAGTGGCTATAGTTAAAATGTTCAAAGTGGCACTTAAAACTATTCAGCGAACCTTTGCCTAAATTAATAATTTATAGTATCTATATTATAATAATATTATATTATAATTAGGCGAATGCAATTAACGAGACAAAATAATATATTATTATATAGTGCACTCTAGTCTCCGATGTTAGTATTGATCCTACGTTTCATGGTTTAGGTACATTTAAAAGTTTAAATTCACCTATGTCATCGTTCGTTTATAAATCATATTTATTACTCGACAATGATTTAACATTTTGAACTTGGGGTAATTTGGCAACCAAAACAACACATTAAGAAATCATGACATCGTGTCTACACCTCTCCGTGTTTATTGTGAATACGTATAGTTAAAATTATAACATTAAAAACCACTTAAAAAGGGAAACTAAAAATAATAAAAACGTTATTGATGAGTTATTTTCCTAGGAAATTTTTACCATTTGTGTGGTAGTTTAACGTAAGTACAATATAGTTTTACAGTAGACAATAATAATATTATAAATATTATAAGTATAACAATATTGCGTTGAACATTACTCGAGGGAAATATCTGATAATTATGATTTCTCTTCACGGCCGCATTAAGATATTTAGTGACCAGTTATAAATGGTCTATTTCGAAATCTTCTTAATCTCTCTTGATTCTTATGAACAATAATTATAATTACGACCGTCTGTGATTAATGTACCTACATGAAAAAAGAAAAGTCTCATTCACGAATATAACTTTAACAAGACATAATATGTATTATATTAATTTTAAAGGAAATTGTGTATAATGAACACAATTATAAGATAGGTACATATTATACGTAATAGGAGAATCACTACAGTAATAATTGTATTATTTTTAAAATCCGACGGAGGAATTTTATTGTTTTATGCTTATATTGCTTTTAACATAACGTTAACTATATATTAATAGTTAAAATATACTTAAACGCTTCGGCTTGAAAAAAATGCATGTATAATTCAACAATATATAAAAATCCAATACGAAAAACATAGAATACTAATCGGGATGTGATCAATAAAATATCTAAACTATAATTATCTATTAATCTATTATAATATTATATACAATAGGAAAATATGTCTAGTGCGATCAATAGTTATTGTCATTTTAAATCATAAACTCGGATTAAAAATAATCATGTTTAATTCATATACAAATAATATAACCACAGATAAAATATGTATGCAAAAATAGCTAAATCCATCACAAACATAATGCTATTAGTTCAAAAACCTTATGAAAATATAAAAGAAACTCCGTCAAATTGTAATAATTACAAGCGGTCCAGTCTATATTATAATTATTATAGATTGGACCGCTACCAAAAATTAAATAATATCCTGCAATAAGTAGATAGTATAAAAAATCGCTTCTGTATAATATAACAACTAACTATACAAATACGATAATGTGTAAAACAAGTGAACCGTGGAGATACACACACTGATATTATTATAATAATAAAAAGTAGTAAAAAGTTAAAATAATAACGCACAGAACGTATTAATGGTTAGGTTTAGAATCTACCGGAATTAGTTGAAAGATTCTGACGATATATCTTATCAGTTATCATCATATTGTCGCCGGCAATCCTGTGGTTATAGATTGCAGGATTTCGAGTAATATTTTGATTTCACTCTCATAGGTATTCCTTGCATAATGTCAATATTATAGGTATAATAAAATAATGATATACAGTAGAAAACGTTCGTATTGACACACCGGTTATAGGGACATATCGGGTTTATTGACATGAAATTAAAGGTCCCATACAAAGCGCCTATGTATTACAATTTTTATTAAATATATGCTAATTTTTATCGGTTGTCCCGACTGACGACTATACGGATATAGTGACGTTTATTTTTGGTGAATTTAGGCGCAAATATATATTGCCTATAATGACACGCAATATAATTATCGATGGTTATTATGACAACAATAATAATTATGTCGAGATAAGACGACGAACAAGCAGAGTTGTCTCCGTCATACAAACGCATAACATGTCAAATTGTACGTTCTGAGTAATCCATTTAACTCGGTTAGTCTGTTATGTTTAATATTAGAGTGAACTGACTGAGCATTTTAAAATGTAGGTACAAACAATTCATAATAATTATAATATGATCATAATTCGTTTTAAAATTGAAAGGTAAAAAAACCCCTATAAAATAACTAAGATAAACCAACAAGATAATATTATCTAAATTACATCTGAATTCGATAATATATCACTATATATTAATTCACTGTATAATATTATTAAATATGACCGAGTTAAATGGATTATTCAAAACGCACAATTAGCTACGTTATATGCGTTTGTAAGATGGATTTAGACGGCGTATAGCGTCCTCGTGAGTCAAAATATCAAACAAATAGTGTCTAGTAATATGGAGATATAATACGAGATCAAAAAAATGTTACAAAGAAAAAAAAAAATATTTTTATAATAATATGTAATTATTTAATATACAAAAATCTCGTGTCACAGTGTTTGTCGTCGAACTCCTTCAAAACGGCTTGACCGATTTGAATAAAATTTTTCTTTTGTATATTTGGTTGGTATGAGAATAAGTAAGTTGTAAAGAATATTTAACCCTCCTACCACCACCCGGGGAGGTGCTCAGACCAGTGACTGATCTAGGGTTTAATTTTGGGAGGGGCATGAGGTGGAGGGAAGTACAAAAAGTTCCAAAAATTGGCTAAACACAGTGTAAAACAAACGAAAACTACAGCTGATTGGGGGCCTTCCCACTGGATCCGCCACTGGCTCGGACGGGAATTTCGAAATTGTTGTTTATAAATGGTTGATATTGGTTATTTGGTTATAGGAGAAATAATTAGTAGAAATTACTATTTATTATTTGGTTGCCATTGGTTAATCGGGAAAATCCGGTGCAAGCATGCATCAAATCAAATTTTTGCATATTGCCTACCACTTGATTTTATGCTGTCATACATAGTTCACGACGTAGGTTGATGTGATTTTTTGCAGAGTGCCACACTGGAAATCTTTTTATCAGTTTTTTTAAAAGATAATAATATCTTACACTAAGATAATTATCATATTATATACGCACGTTATACGTAGGTACACAAACATTGATATTTCAAAGCAGATTATGATGGTGATATTAAAATATTACATAAATCAAATTGCATAAACCTAGATTATTCAATAGTCTTGTATAAGTATAGTGCACGACTGCTCGAGTAGGTATAATTTAATTTATATTGATAAAGAATAATAG